ATACTGATCCGAGTAGTCTTGCCTGCGCCGTTACAAGTATCGTCTACCTATGCACGAAGTAAGGTCCGACCCTACTCTAACCTCATCTTAGGCTTTCTTAAGTATACCCAGGCCTATCTCTAAGACACTAGTGTTAGAGATATAAGCTAATCAGCTAATCTCTGACATAATCCGGGTGCTCGGCACTATACTCGGATTCTTCAGTCAACCAATCCCTATACAATTCATCTATCTATTACGTCTATAGCTACGTAATCTACTACTAGATAGATTCTTCTAGAATCTAGTACAGCAAATATATATAGTAGTAGAATAGCTAGTAGATAGAAACCAGAGCAGATTACAAGAACAGATCAGACTACTAGATCAGATCAATCCAATCCTTATCTCTCTCCCCTAGCATTTCTCTCTTTTCATCCTAGAACCTATCGATTCGCTACCTCTGAGTCTATCGCTAGACAAGTAGACTACTATACCTCTAAGCTAGCTATAGAACAAGTAGCACCCTCCTTATTTCAACAGTTCTATTTAGAGGTTGTCTAATTTTCTATATAGTCGTTTAGTTTTTAGGTTTTATCTTAATAGAAAAACTTTATCCCCTTTCTTAAAGGTTAGTCTCTTAATCTTTTACTTATTTACTACTTTAGATATTATAAGATTTTACTAAGCTATATTCTTACTTAATTCTTTATATAATTCTTATATAAGGTTTGCCTTATTATCTACCTCTACTATAATACTTTTAATATTCTTTAGATCTTAGTAAGTGGTTGGCTTATATCCGTAGTTCGCGTAGTATAGCGAATACTTTATCGTTACTAATTTTATAATATTATAGGCTAATTATACTATTAGTAGTAACTCTATCTAGTTATTCTATAATTTATTAGCGTATATCTGTAAGTACTGTTCTAATATCTAGTTTATACGTTCTATCTAGCCGTCTGTTTCTAGGTAAAAGCTTATTAAAAGCTTCTTTTTAATACCTAACTTTACTAGGAATGTGCTCTAGTATTTAGACGTAAATAGTTTATTACGATTAGTAATAAACTCTTTAGATATTCTATACTCTAATACTAGTACTTTAGTAACTTCGTACGCGTATTTATTTACTATAATAGTCTCTTCTATAGATATAAACTTTACTATCTTAGTTAATTAATCTACGATTACTAGAATAGTATTATAAAATTAAGCTAATTCTAGTTCTAATAATTTCGGGAGCTTTACTATAAAGTTTATTATTACGCGTATTTATAGTTTAGATAGTAGCTATAAGGGTTATAATAGGCTATAGAGCTTATATGTTACAAGTAACAAGAAGAATTCTCTCCTTGACAAGTGACGAGATGGCTGAAGGCCTATGGACGTCCACGCCAGAAGGTAATGATCATCGCGGGGCGAGGATCACGTGATTGACATCACGCCAAGACGACCGTCAGACGCTAGTATGTGATGGCAGCAATCCTTTGATAGCAGCCATCAGGACATCAGGCCAAGCAACGGAAAAGTCGTGATGGCAGTGATGGCAGGACTAGAAGCAATGAGGATATAAGGATGGATGGATTTCATTATTACTCTCGTTGTGGTTAACTTAAATTGTACTTTCTTACTAGTATCCTTACTTAACAAGATTGTCACAAGTTAGTCTATCAAATAGATTAGTCTTGTCAAACCCTCCTTAAGCACGCCAACTCCACTGCATCGCCAGACAAGCCTCACGGAACACTAACGTAATACTCACCTGCCTTAGTGCGGACCAGGATAGAGAAGTATAGACCCTTACCCCGTGTAACACTTTGACCACCCACGGATCCAGTGGAAGGAGGATTAACCAACAGCGTCCGAATAAGATTGAACCATGTCAGGAAATTCAAGCGAATACGTTAACATCCCAGGCCCGGCGCCTGAGGGAGATGTCAACATGACTGGTAGTACCCAAGGGGGAAATAACGAGCCGGCGGCAGGGAGCCCCGAGTACGAACTCGTCAATCTTAGACGCGAGAGCCAAGCCCAAGCAAGGCAGATGGCTGAGTTGCAGAATACGATTAACCAACTCATGGGCCAACTAATGGCCACCCCGAACGAGAAACCACTCAAGAAGCCAAAAATGGCAACCCCAGAAAAGTACGATGGAAGTCGCACCGAGTTGCGGACATTCCTTACCAACATCGACTTATACTGCGAATTCAACGAAGTACCCAACGACCAGGAAAAGATCCTCATGGCCAGCACCCACATGAAAGGACGAGCGTCAAGCTGGATGCAGCCATACGTGGAGGACTATCTATCAAAT